CACTAGAATAAGAACCTATTTCATACCTGATCCAAAAAAGTTCATTTTTTACCAAATCTATTTTTAATCATGCGGGGTCCACCCCATGTGAGAGGGTGGACACCCTTATGTACAAGAAATTATGTACAAGTAGCATAGTCCAAAAAAAAAAAAAAATAGGATTCAGAATTATTTTTCAAGCAATTATTCTGACGAGACTTGCATATTTTCAGCTGCCTCTGCCCTATCTAAAGGTTGGATATCTGACTGCACCACCTGCAGGAAATCCGGTTTCACCTCATGGTGATTGGAAACTTTCTCAGTTTGTGTTAAATCATGAATCTCTTCGACAGGTAGAAGTTCCCACCTTCCATTGTAATGAGATATATGCACAGTTTAGCTTTGTTCTCAATTTCATTGTGCAAGTGCCTAGTTCATTCTTTGAATTGAAAGAGAAACTCTACCATTCCACAAGCATATTAATTTGAACCTCTAACATGTCAGTACGATGATATATTCTCTTGCCCATCACCAAATCTGCTGAATTTAACAGTGCACAAAGCATTGACCAGTGACCATACCAAGTCTTTACCATTCAAACTTCATTCTCAAAAGATTTTCTCTGATAATTATCTCACCCTCTCTATCTTGAAATTATATTTACATTAATTTGGGTGATAGGAAATGAATTTCCCATTCATTCACTTTTAAAGAAATTTCTTCATATTAAGAGCTTGTTTGGGAGGGGGGATTAAAATCAGATTAAAATTGAAAATATAGCCGTTGGAGTTGACTTTTATTAGATGAGTGGGACCCAATAACGGCTATATTTTCAATTTTAATTAGATTTTAATCCTTCCCAAACAAGCTCTAAGCTTATTCAGATTTGAGGAAGTTCATTATGCAATTAACTGATCACGTGAATCACTATGGATAGCAATATAGTCTCTATAAATTTACTAATTATGTGATTCAGGATGGTTACAATCCATTGATATGAAAGTATGCTTTCTAAAATCAATGCTAATCCTTCTCCAACAGATGAACAGAGTCGAGCAAAGACAGCTTTCGCAGAACCTTTCTTCAAAATCAGTAGATACCGCGCAGATGAACAAGTCAGCAATTAAAATTGACATTCCAGATATTGTCTCCGTATCGGCATGTGCTGATCTTACTTTACCACCTGGTGCAGGCCTCTGCATCGACACTATTCAAGGACCTGTATTCTTGGTAAATAATCGTTTTGCTTTTCCTACCCGTGTTTTACACTTTATTTGAAGTTACTCTATCACTCTTCAAGGCCAATCTGCTGAGTACAAGAACTAACCTGAAAATTATAGCTTTGGAAGGGTATGGAAACTTCAAAGACCCAAAAACCTTTGAAGTTTCTTTTCCTCCGGCTGCTGGTGGTGACTAATATTTTTCAGAATTTTGTTGTATATATGTCAAATGTATAATTTAGTTTTATGGCGATAAGTACCAGCGGCTCCACATGATATAAGGAGGATTCACGTCTTTTCCAAATATTTTATCTCGTTTTGCTGTTTTATTATTTTTTTTCCTCATTCTATCTCAGATTGCCGAGTCATGGGAATCTTTGGATGGATGGTTTGATGCGATTCGGTTAGTTTACACAATTTTTGCTCGGGGTAAGACTGATGTTTTAGCCGGGATAATAACTGGATAATTTTGTACCTGTAATCATTGGACAATTCAAACATTTTCTTTTAACTGTGAAAGATTATTGTTCATGTAGACTTGTATATTATTTGAGTATTACTATGAATGAGAATAATAGAGATTCTTCCATCATGTCTATTTTCTGTCTCTAATTTTATCAAAAAATGAGCACTCAAAATCTCAAAAAAAGGAATGCTTCTTAAATATTGGGTTTAATAGTAAAATGTTTGTGGCTTTGCACATATGGTGAACTTGTTAGCATACTCTTGTTATTTCATAAACTGGGGTAGTATATTTAAGTACTGTCGTGCTAAATTTATTCAGTTTATAGGGACTGTTTTGCGGATCATCCTATGTGCCAATGGTAACAAATGGAATGTAAATATGTGACGGCGGCTAGGGATGGAGCCATGATGAACTTTGGCACATTTCCTTTAAATTCTTGGTGCTTACATACTGGAAAGCAGCAACTGATAGAAGTGAAGAAGAAGCTTGGAAGTGCGGGTGCTGAGATTTATTTACTTAATTACCAATATTCTAGAGCTTTCCGACTAATTTACCTCAATCGTTCTTGACAAAGTTATCTAGAATTTAGTAGGCCCAATTCACCGACTTTGCTAAGTCTTATGAGTGTATCTAGATGGAGTATGTGAGAAAGGAGACCGTATATATATATATAGTGAGTGTGTGTGTGAGAATTAAGAGTTACGAGGGTTATTATGGTGTGAGCAGAGAGGGAGAGTTGATAGAGTGAGACAAAATGGTTGAGTGGTGTGATAGAGAGAGAGACTGAAGTTGCAGCAGAGTGGAGTGATAGTGTCGTAGATAGTGAGGTGGCGCGTGTTGATGTTTGGTGAGAGAGTATGTTTTTGTCAAAAAATATTACACAAATTTTAATTAATTAAATTGTTTCTTTAATATAAATTCAATAATTTGATATTAGAGCGTAACAATCAGACAAATTTTTGAGCTTTCCGAGTTCGTGTACAAAGGAAGATTCTGAAACTTCTATAAAATTTGCTTGATTACGAGAAAGTAAATTAAACCATGATAGATAGATTATAAGTGGTAAATGTAATGAAAAAGTTCAATAACTAAAAAATTGTATCACATAACAATCTTGCATAGAGTTTTATCTATAGGAGAAAGACTTGTAAGAAGTAGTTGACAGAAGTGATATGATACCGCCAAAAAAAATTGTGGTTCTAAAAAAGTGGAGAATTAAAGCAAACACGACTATGTTTGTCATAAAGACAACAATTGAAAAATAATTGTTAGAGCATATAAAGAATAAGAATAGATCAAAAGAATTTTGTTTACACTGAATAAATTCCTATCTTCGTCCATCCGACCAGTGTATAATTATGGCAAGAATCAGCGCTTTAGTCATGCTAAACCCTCATTTTCCTTGATTACAGGATTGGTAAGGTAGATAGGACAATATCGCACAATATCAAGAAACGAGAAGCTAAACTTCTATTTGGTGTACTATCCAGTTTTGTTTAATTTTGTGTATTAAAGGCGCCTTAAAAGGAACCCATCATCTTTTTCCTAAATAGTGAAGGTAAAAGGATGAAATCGTGTATAAATAGACCAATTGTGTGCTATGATAGAATTGTAATTTACCAGTTATGCTACATGCTTGCTAAATATGAGGTATTGAAGCTATAATGGTAAACCATGACCAATCTACAAAAGCATTCCCCTCCGACTATAAGAGGCAAAAAATCAAGAATTATGTTATTTGTCCATAAAATAACATCCAAAAAGTGTACAAGAAATTGATGTGTAGGGAAATGATTGGATAAAAAAGTTGACTATGTTTTAAATTGTTCAATAATAGAATACCACGTGACATTCATATAACAAGGTCCAAAGATCAATTACTTTTCTATTTCAAGATAATTGAGGTACCTTTTAACTTCTTAATTGTTAGCTTTGTCGGCTGGTGGGGTAGGAAGTGGGAGGTGGGGGAACAATGATGCCAATGTTATCTCCTTATGCGAATAATTTATAAATGGTTTAATTTACAAATAGATAAAAATGAGTGGTGAATAAATGTGTATCACTTGCAAATTTACTTAAACGTGTTGTTGAAAATGAAGTTTGACTATTTATAAATAATTTATTAACGCTATGAATTACAGAAATACAATGG